GGCTACCGGAGGACTGATGAGATGTGAGAGATACGGGAGATCGCCACCGCCATTGATCCATCTCCTTCGGGGATGGTTGTTGCTCTTGGAGGATCCATGGACTGTGTTTGGTTGGACTACGGTCTTTCATACTTGTTACACACTTTCATGTGCTGACACACTGACTACCATTTATATTGACATTCTACATGGCTCTGTTTTATATGGACAAATAAATAAATTAACTTAATAATTAGCTGTGGTGTGTGGTGACTCCCTTATTTTGTTGCGATCCAGAAAGAGATCGTAACAGAGGGGACAGCAAATTTACACTGTTATACAAGCTGTACACTCACTACTTCACATTGTAGCAAAGTGTCATTTCTTCAGTGTTGTCACATGAAAAGATATAATAAAATATTTACAAAAATGTGAGGGGTGTACTCACTTCTGTGAGATACTGTATATATACATAATAAATATATACAGTATACACAGATATTATTATGTAAATAAAAACGTATTTTGGATGCGATTAATCGTTTGACAGCACTAGTATTGTCCTAAACTTTGGGACTTTTATTTTGGCAGCGCACTCACCGGCCTGCTCCGATACTCTGACCCTCCGGATCAAACACTTTCTTCTCAGCCAGTTTCCTTTAGAGTCGATCCAGTGGTTCCCCGAGTACATCTTCACGAATCTGTCTGATTCCCGAGAGCGAACCGATACCACACAACAGCACGAGCCCGCGGCTTTCCCCTCCGCGCTCCGCCCGCTGCTTGCGCTACTTACCGCGGTATACCCCGCGCCCTGCACGCGAAGCTCCGGCCGATGGCGGTAATGGAAGCACGCGAACCCTTTACTCTCGATAAACTGACTGAAATAGTTCCTCAGCTCTGCGGATCGGAACAGAGCGGGAATGTTGTTTACAACGAAAAACGTCTCGTCTTCCGACGCCGCCATACTTCAGACTGCGAACCCCGGAATCCACATCCGGCTCTGACACACACAACACGGAAGTTATTTCAAAATAAAAGCATGAAACAGCGTACAGTATACTAATTGGTGTCGAAACAATTTTGACTCAGAAACTGCTAGTAAATTTCACAAATGTGACCCTGGAGCACAAAACCAGTCATAAGCGTCAATTTTTTAAAATTGAGATTTATGCATCATCTGGAAGAGCCCGCTGCTTGCGCTACTTACCGCGGTATACCCCGCGCCCTGCACGCGAAGCTCCGGCCGATGGCGGTAATGGAAGCACGCGAACCCTTTACTCTCGATAAACTGACTGAAATAGTTCCTCAGCTCTGCGGATCGGAACAGAGCGGGAATGTTGTTTACAACGAAAAACGTCTCGTCTTCCGACGCCGCCATACTTCAGACTGCGAACCCGGAATCCACATCCGGCTCTGACACACACAACACGGAAGTTATTTCAAAATAAAAGCATGAAACAGCGTACAGTATACTAATGGGTGTAGAAACAATTTTGACTCAGAAACTGCTAGTAAATTTCACAAATGTGACCCTGGAGCACAAAACCAGTCATAAGCGTCAATTTTTTAAAATTGAGATTTATGCATCATCTGGAAGTAATCTTAATGTCAATCTACAACACAAGAGATGAGTATTATTCCTGCAGAACAGCTTGAGATGATTCATGGTTTGGGTTTTAAAAAAAACCCAGAATAACATGAAATCTATCTATCTGTCTTTGTGACCCTGGAGCACAAAACCAGTCATAAGCGTCAATTTTTTTAAATTGAGATTTATGCATCATCTGGAAGATGAATAAATAAGCTTTCCATTGATGTATGGTTTGTTAGGATCGGACAATATTTGAAAATCTGGAATCTGAGCGTGCAAAAAAAATCTAAATATTGAGAAAATCATCTTTAAAGTTGTCCAAATGAAAGTCTTAGCTATGCATGTTACTAATCAAAAATTAAGTTTTGATATATTTACGGTAGAAGATTTACTAAATATCTTCATGGAACTTGATGTTTACTTAATATCCTAATGATTTTTGGCATTAAAGAGAAATGTATAATTGTGATCCATACAATGTATTGTTGGCTATTGCTACAAATATCCCCCAGCGACTCAACACTGCTTTTGTGCTGCAGGCTCACAAATAATTACGGCACTTAATACACTGAATATAGCGTAAAATGACTGGAATTGTATTTTCTCGCAAAGCCTACTCCAATAATCGATTTTATTTCTAACCTTTATACGTTTTTTTTTTACAGTCCTTGTCGATATTTCGCACGTTGTGTTTTACTGTTCTATTAAAATATTTAACCTGAATAAGTATGGTATTTTTGTAAATGTACGTCTATGCATTTGGCAAGACACTTAACCACATTGACTTCAATTGCATTTCAATGCATACATTTGGATTAAAAATGTAAATAAAGTTAATGTACATTTATTATTTTTGACAAGAAAATAAAGCACATGATGTGAATAGCTCTTTGCCAGGTATAGTGTATTGTGTTACGGTTCAAGAAAGACCAATATGCTTAATATGATCAGAAAACACAATAATAAATAATTTCACAGAGAACTGAAAAAACACATCAGAAAAAAAGTCAACACGTGCTATGAAAACAATCTACCCTTTTATTAAAATATATTTCCAAAATCATTGTCATGAAAAAAAACGTGTCATAAAAAAAACAAACAAACAGAGTTTTCCCTACGTGTTCGTAATATCTCTGCTTAGATAAACTCGGATTACTGGCGCTGTACAGAGAGGAGATGCATAGGAATGAGTGTCAGGACTATTGCTCTGATTATATAGTGATTCATAGAGTGATATTTGGTGTTTCTCCACAGCTCAAGCATTTAAAAATGATAGGCCTCTTCTTTTATTGATCCCTAAAAATGACTCATTTACTCATCCTTAAACCCATACGAGTGTGAATGAATAATAGCTATAAATGTTCATTCTTGGGTGAGCTGAGAGATAGAAAGCAGGGGTGCACATAAGTGGTACGTACGCAGGTGCGCATGCGCGGCCAAAATAAAAAATGCGCAGTGTAAATAAGTTCTGACAGCACATTTGCATACGACATGGTTGACATGCACAATTAGCATTTTAGATCGACAAACTGTACTTTATAAGATTTCTATTCAAAAGCATAAATCTAGGCAACCCGCTGCCGTTTCCAAAGCATAATGCAAAACTGTGACATTTCATTCACTGATGCGCTTCAGTCAGCGGCGCTAAACCCGGAAGCGCATATACTTACTTGCCGGCAACCCGCCAAAATAAAAGCCTGCTGATTTAAGGTTGAAATTGTAAATAAAAAAAATAAGTAGTAGTAGTAAATATTATTAGTGCTCGACCGATATTGGTCGGGTTTTGTATAATTATATATTCAATGGGTCACACTATGTGCAGTGTGAGGACCAAACCAAATCTCCAGGTTCTCTTATGAAACTTATGTGCACCCCTGGTCTAAAGCATTCCATTGCTTTCTGATGGATATATTAAAGTGTCATCAGTCTGGTGCACGAATAAGCAAACATCTTTCCGTGTTACTGTTGTGAATCCAGAGAGACGGAGAGCCTGAAGGCCAGAGGAACGTGATCCGTCAGTCCGGCCAGCTGCGTCACGTACGTGAACTCCTCCAGCTCCTGAAACACAGCAAACACTTCAGCTCCCGTTACTGCATTTAAAACACTCAAGTACTTCATCGAGGGTGCATCTTTTATGGCAAAAAAAAAAAAAATCTGCCCCAAATATATTCTAAATACATGCTAAATATATGTCGTAAACCGTGAAGCTCAATGAAATAGTTAATTTTGGTAATATTTTGAATTTGATTTGATTTTCTGATTTCATGTTCATTTGTTTTTGTCATTTTTAGTAGTTTCTGTTGTTTTTAAATGTCTATATATTTACACACATGTATATATTTCATTAACTTTATTTTCATAAGTTTTATTTGTTGTACTACATAAAATAAAAATGGAAAAATGGAAACTAGCTGAAATAAAATAAGTTCATTTTTAAAAATATTTTATTTCAGTTCATTAACATTTATTTTATTCCAAGTAACAAAAAATAAATAAATATATATATATATACACATACACACAGGTACATCTCAAAAAATTTGAATATCATGAAAAAGGTCAATATTTTTTGTCATTCATTTCAGAAAGTGAAACCCATATATTATATAGATTCATTACACAGAGTGAAATATTTCAAGCCTTTATTTCTTGAAAATTAGAATATTACATAAGATCAATAAAAAAAAAGGATATTTTAAAAAGAAATGTCAGGTTTCTGGAAAGTATGTTCATTTGTACATGTATATATATATACACATATACACACACACACACACACACACACACGTGTTTTAACAACAAGTTAAGCAAACTTAAAAAGCTCCTGAAGCTGGTTTCCTTAAACTTTTAAGTTTTCGCAACTTTTGATTTTTTTACAGTGTGTATATATATATATATATATATATATGTGCGTATATATATGGATAGACAGACAAACAGAGTCAGATGATAGACAGACAGACAGACAGACAGAGTCAGAGAATGGATGGATGGATAATATATTTAAACAAATATATTGTATATTCTGAAATATATTTAAAAATATATTAGATTTTTTTTTTTTGCCATTTGGGATCTTCTGTGGCAAGTGTACAACAAGTAAATATTAAAGCACAGAAAGCTTGTTATGGTGAGGAAACGCACAGTTTTGCGGTGACTGGAGACAGAGCTCTCTCGATACAGGAGGTAATCGATCCGGCGGCCCGTCCAGGGCTGATCTATATATATATATATTACCCCCCCCCCCAAGTAATAAATGGGCTTCTTTTAATGGTTTTAATTTTAGTTTCAGCTTTAGTTTACTATAACACTGTCTGCATCCAACCTAAATTGTAAAAAAAAATTAATAATATTATATATAATAATATAAATAATAATAACAACAACAACATCCTAACAGCCATATCTGACCAAAATAAATAAATAATGAAAAAAAGACACCACCATAAGTTTTTATTCAACCATGCAGCGGAAGAACAGAAACCACTCAAAAACATAGATTTTCTTTCCACAAACTGTGCATGAATGCGAATGAACAGTAATTGAGAGTGTTACCGATGACCCAGGGCTTCTCTCTCCCGGCTCCGGCTCTGCAGGGGTCGGTATAGTCCTCAAACACACTGTGGCTTTGCTCCAGCCTGTCGTCTGAAAACACACAGACACATGAACATCCTCCGTTCATGAGGCCTGTTGCTCCTCAACAACGTCTGCATAAACACTGCTCTGTAATTAAGACATGCAGTGTGTGTGTGTGTGTGTGTGTGTGTGTGTGTGTGTGTGTGTGTGTGGAGTTATTCAGAACGCACCAGGAGAGCAGTTGTCAAAGTTAAAGTCTCCACAGAGCACATCAAACATCACCATCTCATCTTCTCGTCTGGTCACTGCCTGGAACTCATTGATCCATTTGGTCAACATGTTCAGCTGCTCGAAGCGAATCGCTCCGTCCCCTGAGCAGCAAACACGTGCATGCATGCATGCATAAATAAATAAATGCAATTATATTATTTGCGCAATTGTAATTTGTACATGATTCAAACTCTAAATGGTCACAAAACAATAAAACTCAAGTATCCGAAAATCAATTCTTCTTAACCACTGAGATTCTAGAGAATTTAATTGGATTAGGTTGCATTACACATTGCATTATCCAAAAATCAATTAAGAGATGCAGTGTGTGTGTGTGTGTGTGTGTGTGTGTGTGTGTGTGTGTGTGTGTGGAGTTATTCAGAACGCACCAGGAGAGCAGTTGTCAAAGTTAAAGTCTCCACAGAGCACATCAAACATCACCATCTCATCTTCTCGTCTGGTCACTGCCTGGAACTCATTGATCCATTTGGTCAACATGTTCAGCTGCTCGAAGCGAATCGCTCCGTCCCCTGAGCA